AAAATGTCTGAGCACATGCCATGCTATGGAAAAAATCGTGGATATGCGGAATTGGGTATCTATCGGCTATCGTCTGCTTATTTAAAGCTCGGAAATCTCCACATGGTCGTATCTCTGTTGAATTCTTCTTTGGTACTATATGAAGTGGGTGATGACCATGGGCTGTTTGACGGTCGTATTATTTCTAGATCCAACAATCTGTTGAAATCTGTTTTTGCTATTTGCATTTTAGCTGGATCCAAACGACGTGGTTTTGCTGCAACAGGTGGACCTTTAGTTACAATATGGTTCGTTATGTTGTGTTTGAGAGGGGCTGTTGAGTAATCGCTGTGTGAGTTCAGGAAATTTCTTCAGCAAAATCTCGTACGGGGATAATTGATCTGATGTAGCTACCATCAAGCGGATACTCTTAACATCGGTGCAGATGCCTAGAATCGATAGTTTGAGATTGCTATTTATCAATCTATGGCGACTAGAGTCGACTAGCAATTCGTAGTGCTGAAGAAAATCCATCCCAATAATAGGAAAGGTTATTTCAGCAATGACGAACTCTCACTCAAATGGTGTACTGCAACCAAAATTAAGTTTTTGTCTTCGAATTCCAAAATTTTTTATAGTAGAATTATTCGCAGCCTTAAGTACTAATGCGGGATTTGTCTGTAAACGTTCGCTGGGTGTTTGGGGAACTATAATAACTTCTGCGCTGGTATCTACCAGGAATTGTGCCCCCGTTATTTTATCTGTCACCCTGAAGAGACGACTGTGGGACGGGTGTTGTCCAGTGAATGCAGTCATCACTGACCGCTGGCCTTTTCGTTTCCCGACGCCATAGGCTGCTGGAAAGCACATTGCTGTGTGCACCGTTTAGCCTGTACACCAAATTTTCGATGATACCAGCACATGGTCTCTTGTAAGCTATATTTACGTATATTGCCTGAGCGACTACGCTGTCTTCTGAATGATATAATAGGTTGTCTATTAAACCTCATCGTCATTAATTGCCCGGTCAAAACGTCTATTTTACGTTCTAGTGCTTCTATGTGTTTGTCTGACGATTTGTCGACTACAGATGTTACTTGTGGAGGCATCCGTTCATACATTCTGTCAGCAATTCCCGCTAACTTGTCAATATCTATGTCTTCGTCTCCAAACGCTAATACCTGCTGAATGTTGTGGGGCAACCGCCTTGGCCACAATTGATAGAAAAACCTGGTGTCTACCTTCCGAACTCATAAAATGTTACACATATAGCTTTTGAGTTGAGAAGGTGTTCTATCACTCAGACTTACATTGCTGAGCAGCTGATCAATAGCTTTCTGGTCTGATAATGAAGCAATCTTAATAACCTGTGTAAGCGCAATATCGCTTGAAATTAAGTTACGCGTAGATAAAGGCTATCCCGGTTCAGAACAAACAAGAAGCCGGTCACTGTTTCTACGGTACTTAACGGTTTCAAGAGTACAAAGCATAACGCTTAACAGAAAGCAAGGTACCGCTATCAGAGCGGAATAACGTTAAAGCCAAAATTGCGAACTAGCCGGAACCAGACACGACCGTTCAGGTGAGCAGTCAGTAGAAGAATAAACCCAAGTAAGGCATGGCATAAAACAGAAAGCGGTAAAGAGATAGACTGAGCATAGGCACAAAGATAGAATTTAATTGGAAACTTAACCAGGTAGGAAAATACAGATGAAGATCAATAAATAAGATAAACTCGACAGAATAGTACAAAGTAAGACATGGGTCAGCAAAAATAACAAATCACAAAATACTCTGATTGGGTCATGAGTTCATCTGTCTGACTAAACGGATAGAGGTAAATACACATACACACAGTTCATTAAACAAGGGGGGATAGACACGTTAGGCATGGATAATTGGGTTGCAACAACGCTAGGCTGATCCGGGACAGGTTGACTTGATCCAAGGATGGGAATAGAATTGATCTTACAACCTGCTTTAAAACATCGAGCGGAGTTTCTGGATCTGGATTTATTAGTGTTTCCTATACATGCTCTGCTATTTCATCCGGTAAGATGGAGCTTGCATAACCAAATTTTGTAGTTTGAGAAGTGATGTGGTTAACTAGGAAGTGAGTGTTCCAGGTGAGTGAACTACAGATATAGGTCATTGGGTTTAAAAGGTGGTATGGATATGGTAACTGCAGTCACAGACGTTGGATTCGAAGTTTTGTTATCAGTATCAAATGACATTACATTAGTGTAGAAACCAATATATAAAGATGATAGCCAAAATACAAACAGTGAGCAAAAGCAGAACAGAATACTGGTATGTTCAAAAATATCCAAAATTGGTCTGCTTACCGAAAGTATTTTCAACAAAAATGTCAGTAAATTTATACATATATATATTTATGTATCCAAATGTGATACAGTTACAAAGTTAATACGATAGCAGTGATGATTAAATCCAATATGTGTGTACTTCGAAATGATGTTGATCAGCGTTGTCGGGCTCACCAATTTGTTGTGATGCTCTATTTGATCAAATTTGTGTACACATATATATCCTAGTACTTCTTCACGTTTCTTATTGTGTCCTAACCTTGTGATTACTCGACGTCCACAACGTAAATCAAAAGACACTTGAGAAGGTATACGAACGTGTATCATCTCAGTAATCAAAATTCAAAAGTTGAGCGAGTACAAAAGTATAAGTTGATAACACACAATCTTTATAGGGATAAACAAATCAAAATCCAACTACATAGTGAAAGTATAGTACGATGATGAGTCATAAAATGGATCACTACAATTTTACCTTCAAAAGACAAACTATACTGTCAAACAAATGGAGTTTCAGTGGGTTCACCAGCATCTCCAATTGTAGCAAACCTGTATATGAAAGCCCTAGAAAAGAAAGCATTGACAAGTTTCAGTTGTCATCCTAGAATATAGTACAGATGTGTAGATGACACATTTGCCATCATAGAGAAAGCTAAAATAAGAGAACTTTTTAACAGAAATTAACTTGATCGCAGAATATATTGAGTTTACTAATGAAGTAGAATAGGCGGAGGGAACTCTAAACTTTCTTGATTGTCTTGTAAATAGACAAACTGACGAGAAACTTAGGTCCACCATATACAGAAAGCCGACACATTCCAACAAATATTTGAATTTCCAATTAGATCATCCAATAGGAATGAAAGTTTCAGTAGCTTTAAATCTCGTTAACACAGCTAGTAAAGATTATAACAGACAATGACGATATGGAAAACAAGATGTCCAACATAAAACAGATTTTGATTGGAAATGGTTATCCGGAAAAGCTACTAGATAACATTATCAATAAAAAGGAGCATTAGGGAAAACAAAGAATTGAAAAATCTTGGCTATCGACCTCAGCCATTCCATATCAAAAGGACACAGCTGGACAACTTCAAAGACTATTTGCTTCATATAATATTAAAGTCTATGTCAATTCTCTGGAGAAAGCGTTGGTGCATGTCAAGGATATAGTTCCCAAAATGTCACAAAGTAATTGTGTCTACAGGATAAAGCGTTCAGAATGCGATGCATGCTCTATAGGGGAGAGGAGTAGACACGTGAATGTGAGAGTGAATGAACATGGACTATGCACGAAACGTCCACCTAGAAATGAAGTAGAATTAAAAAGTCTAGAAAAAAGATCGGCTATAGCAATGCATGCGATAGACAGCGGACGTAAGATTGATTTCGACAATGTCGAATATCTTGGAAGAGGATTTCATTCACATAGAAGAAAGATTGACCTCTGAAGCCTTGCACATTTTAACCACATCGAATGCAGTGAATAGGAAGGAAGGTATAGACCTATCACCTATATGGCAAACTTTTATGAAACGAGACAGATGAAAAACAACAAACTTTCTATGAGTCTCCATGACCTTTTAAAAATGTAGTATCATGTTTATCACATGTGAATTCACGTATTTTCCATATGACAAATAACATACATACACACACACACATTCACACAACACTAATCTTTACGAATCAACTATAGAAAATTGTAGAGAACAACAATTTGACACTAATCATTACAAATATATATGTGATGACTGCTTACATATCTCTATTGGTAAAAATATCCATGGATAAATGACCTTCAAATAAACTGACTCCAATTCATGCAAAAGTTTTTGACTATATATTTTGATGATTAATAGAATTTCGAATAAATCTGCTGAAGAAGCTGTGGCTTACACAGCGAAACGTTTAGAAAAATCTTGTTTTGATTTCTTAACACACGCTGGGATTAATTCAAATAATTTATTATGAATCAGTCTGACTCGGCGCTCAAATTATTCCAGGACGTTCGCAACGCCTACGGTCTGGAAACTTATAATTTACTTATACACTCAAAATGGTTGACTACATAGATCATAAAACACTTGCATAATTACAAATTCTCAAATCATCAGCACGACATTGTTTATTATCCACTGAAATGTAGCCTGCGAATTTAACTAAAAAATATTGATAGATGAAGTGATTAAGCGTTCAGGGACTGAGAAACTCATAAGGTAATATATAAAACACCAAACAAATCCAAATAAAAAGTAGAACACTAAAAGGATTTTACAGGTAAACGATGGCTTCAGAGGAATTCCTTGAAATATCTCAAAGGACGTAACAGCTTTACTCACAGAACATCCAATCAGGAATGTAATTCTGGCCATAAGTTTGGGCTTGATATCTTGGAAGTTAACTGTCAAACTACAAACATACCACAATCAGAAACGGTTAACAGGCAAGCGAAGGCAAGTCGAACGAAATGTCGAAAAAATTAGACGAAGTCTGTCGAATTCGCCGGCATCAGTCTCACTCACCATTTGTAACGAAAGCTTGTCATATTTATCTGAGCAGATCAAGTTAGGGAGTTTAGAACCCGCTGATGTACTACATGCTTTTCAGCTGAAAGCGTTGGAGTTGTACGATAACGGAAATTCAGGTATTTCTGAATTCATTTTGGAGGCAGAAGAGAATGCTGTTAACATGAAGTCCTCATCGGATATCGACAAAGAATCAGAGCTGTATGGGATTCCAATTAGCATAAAAGAGAGTTTTAAATTGAGTGGTTATGATAGTACTTTTGGTGTTATTAAACGCTGCAACAAACCTATGAACGATGACTGTGTTCTCGTGAAAGTACTCAAGACTGTCGGTTCAATCCCCTTCGTAACTACTGTGACCAGCCAGTTATGTCGTACATTGGATAGCTTTCACTGTGTTTATCGTGAGGCAAAACATCCAATGAATTCGTCGAGAATGCCTGGTGGGAGTTCAACGGGGGAAGCTGTACTATTGGCGTTGAATGGTTCTCCAGTTGGCATTGGTAGTGATATTGCTGGTAGCATTCGTATACCGTGCGCATTTTGCGGTTTAGCTGGTTTAAAGCCAACGTTTGGAAGACTGAGTGTATTGGGCATGCCAACAATCACGAAACATTCGGTGCTTTACATACGCGCTTGCCCAGGACCCATGGGTAGGAAGGTGGAAGACTTGGCTCGTGTAATGCGCGCATTGTTGTGTCCTACAATGTTTGATCTGGACCCTTATGTTATACCGATGCGTTTCAATGAGGATTTATATGAAGGGAAGGGGAAGCGCCAGTTAGTAATTGGTTATTATTGCAACCTCGATGATCCGAATCTCATTCAGGTGGTGGATGTGAATAGACAAGTTGTGGAGAAGGCAGTTAAAGTGTTAGAGAGTTCTGGACATAAGGTTGTAAAGTTCACCGTTCCTCATCCTTATGAGGCTTACGTTCTTGGTCTGCGTGCTTTGTTTTCAGATGGAGGTCGTGAACTACGAAAGCAGTTACAAGGCGAACCTCTGAGTCCACAGCTTAAATTTCTAAATGTTATCCTCGGATTTCCAGACTTTCTAAAACCTATCATGGGGTTCCTATCTCGATTGTTTGTTGGAAGACCGGTTGGTATATCAAGTGCCCTTCGAAAACTGAAAGATGGTCAGGCAGCGCTTCACCTAATCAATGAAATCAATAGTTATCGATGTGAATTCGCCAAAGCTTGGAGTGAAGCAGGCCCATTGGATGCACTGATCTGTCCAGTGTCTTCATACCCTGCCCCTCCCGACGATACTTCAGCTTTGTACATTTCACCATCAATTGTGTATACATTTTTGTACAATATTTTGGATTATCCTGCTGGAGCAGTTCCCGCGGGTTTTGTCAGTAAAGAGGATGTTCGAGATGCACTAAGCTTTTCCGAACACAAAGTTTTATGGAAGCTCAGTCAGTTGTGCTCACGGGTGGAAAGAATTCACCGTTAGACAACTGAGTTTGTTGATAGTGTTGTTGATGGAGTTAGAGAAGTGAGGTAGTATCTTGAATTAGTAGAATGGTCAAAATTGAATGTCTATCACATTGTGGTGCTCATCATCACTTGTACAATTCCAATGCAGGTAAAGGATAAGCTACTGAGTGTGCATATCAAACTGCCTGTAGGAATACTTGGGAGACCCATCGTCGCCATCTCGAGAATTTCCTCATTTTGTTAGAAAAAGGAACCGTTAGGTCAATCAGGAGTTTCATAATGACACATCTAGTGGATATGGAGAATAAAATCGATGGAAAACCAGGCTTTACCATTCTGTCTATAGAATACACCACCTTAATCCTACGGTGTAGTACGTTAGAGATTTCAGGAATACCACACAAAAGTAGGGTGAAGGAATGTAATGGAACTAAGACTTAAGATATTTGGGATGAAGAATATTTACAGCAGGATTATTAAAACTTTTAATAATCTGAAGAATGGCATCCAATGAATACATATGCGCCAGTTGTGAGCCACTGTTATCCATATCACAACGATTCTTCAAATACTGATTCATGGTTTTCCAGGGAAAATGTTTACGTAACCTATACCTCCCCATATTGTTTAAAGCAAAAGTAATTAACGTTTAGTCACTAATGTCGAAGGGAACAATGTGCTTAATAGTAGTGTTATGGCCGAAAACAAGAGTACGTGTATTCCTTGTCACCAACTCGATATACACATATAGGCAAAATACTTCTACGAAATGTTAGAATCACAATTCGCACATATTTTTGGTATTTTACTACTTTCGTATTTCGTATTCTCCTTCTTTGTCTTGCTTTCATGGTGTTTCACAAGCATCATTCATTTCTTCTCTTCGCCATTAGATCCGTGTCTCCGCTATTCGTTATTCTTTCAGATGACATACATATTTATATTTGTATCTGTAAACTACTCATAAATCTTGTAAGTAACACACGCCACAATAGGAACATTAGGTGCAGAGTATTAAGTAAATAGGGGTTTTGTGTAGTTCCATCGTTTGAAGTTGTTAGACCTCAAGATACTCATCGCAAACTAGTCCCTTCCTTGAAAGTCAATGTTGGCTGAAGAATGATTAGGACATAAAACTGTTAGGGGGGGTAGACAAAGACATGCCACACATTCATGAAGACATTAACGGCTGGTCTGAACCATAGAGGGATGTATAAATTGTCCAAATCTGGTCACACGGAAGTGAAGAGACAGTAGTTCCAAACTTTGTGAAGTTTCTCAAAATCATTGAACTATTCAAGTGATGCCATAAGATGGATTTATTTCAGTTTGGATGACTCTCCATATCATGCATGACATTCATTCTTACAAATTAACAGTCGTATATTCTTCATCCAAATATCATCATAATTCCGGATGAATTGATTTATTCATATACTAATTCATCTACTGTATTTTGCTACGATGTTTGGTCATCTATGTTAAAAGTCACCGGAACTCCTGACGCTGCTGACACCGGCTCAGAAAATCATAAGTGATTTATTTTTAGGTTTACCTGACTAGACATGAAGAAGAAAAAGTACCAGAGTTAATCTTCCACACCGGCATTATATCAAAAAGAGCCTTTTTAACGGATAATGTGGTCCACAATATTTTCAGAATTTCCTTCACAGATATACCATATTTCAAAAAGCTAACTACTCTACACTCTAAATTCTATAAAATGAACATGACTCATACTGAAGTCATTTTCAGTCTCTAGTACAGCAATAAGCGTTGCGTATACAAAATCGACTTCGTTGTATTCGGTTGTGTGATGTAAGCTGTGGCTTTGGAGTTTCCAGTTTATCGTTGGACAACTTTCTCATGCACATTATGATATTGCTGGAAATGTAGTTTCAAGGATGAGTTTAATAATTTCATGCATTTATTCCCTTGATGAATTTGAATAAAGCGAGAACAACAGTGGTTTGTGCAGAATAACATAGTATCATCATTTATTTCGCTGGCTTCTCATCAGCTGCTTACAGCCTAAATAAATTTTGAGGTTTAAGTACAGACATGTTTTAACACACTTGCAAATTTTATATGTTGTCAGTTGACAGAAAGTTCCACAATTAGTAAACAGTGCTCAGAAAATTGCGCTTATATAGTTTTTACACAGGCAGTTCAAGTTAAAACAAAATAAATGTATGCATATAATGGTAAGGGAGTTACATAATGAAGATGAGATGTGCGTTAGATGCATAGTGACTAATAAGTTAGGTAACAATGTACTGAGTTGAACTCAAATCATAGAAACAAGAACAACAGAACCGACGTCGCAGCTCAATTCAAAAACCTATTCTATTAGCTGAATGATCTTACTCCAGTTGATGAGGACAAGAAGAGCTGGTTCAAATCTAAGCTGGTTGACGTTGCAAAGCAATACATCATCTCACCAACGTCATATTCAAAAGTCCTTTCTGAAGAGCATCAAAAATCATTGAAAGCTCTAAGAAATAATGACAAATTCGTCATACTGCGACCTGACAAAGGCTCAGGAGTGGTACTGATGGATAAAGATGACTACATCGCACATGGAATGGACAATACTTACATTTTAATAGTTTTTGTCCAAATAGCTATAAACGAGCACTAGTCAAGACTCTGTACTGTAGAGCGAAGAGAATATGCTCTGCAGAGAAACTAGAGCAAGAATTTACGAATCTCGAAAAGATGCTGAAACACAACGGCTATCCTCGAAGATTCATTAGCAAATATGGAAGATGTGAAGACTCAAATACCAAACAAATCACAGTTGAAAAAAAGCCTGTCTTCATTCAACTAGATTTTAAAGATGAAGACATTGCAGAAATGGTCAACAGAAGACTGAGGACGTCACTAACCAGAGCCTATTCTGCAGCTAAGTTGGTTCCCGTCCATCGAACAACATGCTCTTCGATGCAGTCAAAAGTCGATAGATACCCTTCTCATGTGAACTCCAACTGTGTATACAAATTTACGTGTATCTGCGGGAGCAGTTACATTGGGAGTACAGAAAGAAGGGCACACCTCCGATTTTCTGAACACGTGCCGAAAAGCCTACATCTCAAGGGAACAAACTCTTATAGCAGAGCTATTGCCAGACATTTCCTCGATACGGGTCACGAGGTGGAAATCGAGAAATCCTTCGAAATTATCAATAGACAAAGGAGCTCCATTCTCCTAAAGTTTGCCGAAGCAATTTCTATCAAACGCTTGAAACCAGATTTATATGTTCAGAAAGAACCAGTTATTTGTCTTTCCTTGCCTTGGTAACTGGATGTCTTTTTACTCTCTTTCATTTGATTACGTAATCTTTGTCGTTAACCTCATCCTCCTTTTATAATCTGTAATTTTGCTTGTCTCTTGTTTCTATGATTTGAGTTCAACTCAGTACATTGTTACCTAACTTATTAGTCACTATGCATCTAACGCACATCTCATCTTCATTATGTAACTCCCTTACCATTATATGCATACATTTATTTTGTTTTAACTTGAACTGCCTGTGTAAAAACTATATAAGCGCAATTTTCTGAGCACTGTTTACTAATTGTGGAACTTTCTGTCAACTGACAACATATAAAATTTGCAAGTGTGTTAAAACATGTCTGTACTTAAACCTCAAAATTTATTTAGGCTGTAAGCAGCTGATGAGAAGCCAGCGAAATAAATGATGATACCATGTTATTCTGCACAAACCACTGTTGTTCTCGCTTTATTCAGAATAATAATTTCATGGATATCATTCTGTTTTCATGGGAATTGTGTAAAACACGGCATTCCTTTTACAATCTAGCCTTCTAATGTAACAAAAAGTCTCTTCAGCCAATAGGTTTCAAGTTTCGTTGACTGCTTCTAAAAGGGCACATTGACTTTACTCAAAACGGTATGTATTTGTGAATGCGCTACACAATTTTCTCCACACCTTTAATTCAGATTTCCTGTGGAATAGGTGACTTCTTGACCAATTTTATCAAGAGTTAAACTGAAAATATGTATGATTTGCACAGATACACATTCGATTTATCTCCTACTTTCTGTAACATCACTCTAGGAATTGATGTCATGACTAAGGCTCCTACAAGTGGATACAATTTTGGAAGACACTGATCGTTGTGTTAGTTGATGGGTCACCGTTTGTGGTGCATATGACAGCCTCCTAAGTCCGTGGAAATTCATAACTTCATCTGAAGATATAACATCAAGTGTCTTGTCTCAACGTTACTCTCACTTTGCTACTGACAAGATTTATAAGTAGTATATGGACATACATATGAATATGTATGTCATCTGCGAGAATATCGTATAGGGGAAAGAAAAAATAATGACACTTGTGAACCAAAATGGAAATGATGAGAAGCAGACAAAATCAACACGACACGGACGTATTTTGCATATATCTGTACATCGGGTTAACAATAAAGTGTTCTGCTGCTAATTATTCTTGTGATTTATCAAAATATAATATTATCTATCTACAACAGTGCCCAAAATTTATCCTTATATGGATCATTGCTCTTGTGTTCTATCGTCACGAGATTACCAGTTGAATGAAAGTATGCATCGGTTGGAGGATTTCATCATGAGCTGACATCAGTTAGAGAACCACTGGAAAAGCTGGGAGTACTGAACAGCTGTGTCGTCATCGTTCGGAACAGCTATCCAGTACTCCCAGGTTATCAAGTAGTTCTTTAACAGATGCCAGCTCATGATGAAATCCACCAGCCACTCAAACAAAATCCCTATATACACCAATACTCGGAAGTATGTCTCGTAGAGAAACTCGCAATCTAGTTATATCTTCACTGCATAGTACATATGCATCTTTGGTGAATCGTCTCCCAGTCCCAGAATACGCTTGGGAAAAGCGGTCAAAACATCAGATAAGAGAGCCATTTTCATCGACGGAGAAATGAACAGAAAGTGGGTAAGCTGCAGCGTAAATAACTTCTTTTACCCATGTTTCGTAACAGTCTTACATCCCACATT